ATATTTTAATTACAATTCTGGAGAAAAAATCCAACATAAGACTTATTCACTTGAGTGACAGAGTAAATTTTTTTTTGTCTTGCTACTGAAATCCCTGAACTACTCTCAGTCCACATTCAGTACCTAACATTGACAACAAGGTGTGACTGTTCAACCAGCCCTTTGAAGCAAAGACAAACCACCAGCCTGTCTCACTACAGTTTTAAGTTGTATCCACAATGGGTTCTTGTCTTAACTGTTTCAATCACTCACACACACAAACCTTTCTATAATTGAGGTCACATAATGTTTTCTTAACCTTACCATAAGGTAAACATCACAACTAAATGCCTAAAATCCAACCCTTACCTTATGGTTAAGTTATGGTTTGCCAAAAATTATTTAAAGGGTTAGGGTTATTAAAGGATGAGGCTGGTCACTTACTATATTAATAGAATTTTCAACAATTCCCATACAGAAACTAAAATCAACAATGAATTGCCTCTAAACTCACTAATAATGTCTCACTCTCAAACCTGGATGAGCTAATTTGTTTGTGTCACAGATGCCCATTATTGTTCAAAAACTATTAAAAACACCATTAAAATACACTGCTTCAGTGGGTGATGTACTTCTTTATTACAAAACACAATACCTGCATATTTGTTAAAAAATGTTGCCCCAAAAGCTCCAAACAGCCATACGGTATGTTTTTACAGAATCTGAAGTAAGAAAGGGCTAGATGAGCCCCAGCTTGTGACTCATGTATTGCATACACTCGAGTCAGAGAGCTCATCTTCCATGAGCTTTTGCAACTGAAACTTCCCAAACATTTTAACCCCATACCTTAATTTCATAACACTCACCCAAATTCTGAAGGTATTTCCTGAATCCTCATGTATCATTAGAAGAATTTATAAGGATTCGGGAAATACCTTTAGAATTTGGATAAGTGTTAATAAGCAATGGTACAAGGGTCAGCTGTACATGCGCAAGATCACCATGCAAGCTCTCTGCTTTGTTTACAGTCTGCTAGCTCCTCATGCTTTCATGGAGATCTTGCACATGTGCAGTTGACTTTTAGAAATAAAAATATATATAGAAATGACCAGCCTTATTCTTTAACCTTTAAAGAGCCCTTTTACATTGAGAGGACAGGCCAAAATGTCCTCACAACAATGGTATCAAAATAAAATTTGTCCACACAACTACTAAAAGACATGTACAAACATAGAATCTTTTAACACTGTACATCAGTCCCCAGAGCCACATAACTACAGTTGTCAGTCCAAAAATGTTCAATCCCAGATTCTGTCCTCCTCCTTCTTATCCAGGCCTCTGCCTTAGTCATTCACAACACTGCTGTGTACTATGCCAAACCCATCTCCTCCAACACACTTCTAGGTGGCTCATCCTCCTGCAAAAGGAAACACAGAGATAATAAAATATAGGTATATACACACATCAACATCCCATGGGGCTGCCAGGTCCCAGAGGAACAGACATATGAATCACTATAGTCACATATGTTTAGTCACATTATATTATGGCCTTATGCAACCCTGAAACAGAAATAAGGAAATAAAATAATGCTGTTTATGGCAGGCCAAGGACTATGCTGCTCTTAAATATTAAGCCAAAAGACCACCTAGGGCTGGATGTTGAACATCAGTGCTTTTTTGGGACCAACCAAAATTTGCCTGCAAATTTGAATACTGAAAACTGCCATGCACTGAAAGCTGAAAGTTTTTTCAGATTAATAATCTTGTTAATGCATTCTTCTATCAAATAGGTCAAAATTTGTACAATGTACTTTAATGTTCCCTTTTGAGATAATAGGTCAGGATGAGCTATGGGGAAAAAAAGAAGGATTAAAAAGTAATTTCCTCATTCCTGTTTGTGCTTTTGCCCACAGCTGTGGAACTAAAAATATCATGCAACTTAAATCAATGACAGATTCATAAATGATGGCAGCATTTGAGAGGCATTTTTCATACACAAGTAAACAAGAACCCATATTGTTCTTTGTATTTTTCATATTGTGATGTGGTTATTTCTTCAAAAACAAAACAAAAAAATATATTCACTGATGACTTTTTTCCACAACAAAACAAGACTATAACAAATAAAAAAGTAGCCTCTGAAAATGATAACTATGATGAAATGTACTGCATTAGTTGAACAGTAATCACCACCACCCAAAAATATCACATTCAGAAGTAGATCGCTCTCTTTGACCTGCTGCTCTACTGTTATTAAGAAACATCTTATAGTCTAACATTCAACATTCTGTTCAAACAGTGAGAATTTGGTAATAATATAAGAATTTAGTGTGGAGAGTGACATGGATGGTGTGTGAAAAGTGACTTTTTCCACTAACCTTGTAAGAGACAAGAACACCTGTAATAATAAATGTATGCAACAAAGCTGGTGATGGCTGTGTTGTCAAAATACTCAAAAGACACATTCAAAAAGCATGACAAAAAATAGATTAGAACTCACAGACAAAACAAGACTAAAATGTTCTGAATGGTTAAAGTTAGTCAGGATTTGTTGACTAAAGGGCACCACGTACAGGTGGCGTGTGCCAGCCTGCCCTCCTTGGGGGGCCTGTATACCTCATGGGTTACAAGGAGGGCAGGCCCCTCACGTCCTGGACATAAACTGTTTGAATTCTTCCCCTCTGGATGGCACTACAGGTCACTGTACACCAAAAAACAACCAGACACAAGGACAGTTTCCTCCCCCGTGCCATTACTCTGCTGAACTGTTAATACGTGACTGTATGACTGGACACAGAAATCACCACAGTGCAATAAACAGTAAATATGACCATTGTACACTGATCAGGCATAACATTATGACCAATGGCAGAGTGGCACCTGTCAGTGTGTGGGGTATATTAGGCAGAAGTGATGGAAGCAGGAAAAATGGGCAAGTGTAAGGATCTGAGTGACTTCGACAAGGGCCAAACTGTGGTGGTGAGATGACTGGGATATTCTCAGTTAATCTGGTTTGCTTGATAGATGTGATATACTCAAAACTGTAGCATGGACAATGAGGACTAATAACAGTAACAATAATGAAATAAAAAGAAACTTATTATATTTCTAGGAGTTTGTGGGAATGTGTGTGGCCTTGGCCTTGAACCCAGGTATCTGGTTTAAGTTAAAAGTGATTAGAAATGGATTCCAAGTATCAGTAAAAGTTGGTATATTATTCTTATGGGTGGATGATGGCTTTCTCTAGTCTGATGTGTTCTATGAGAAGGTTGGTCCATTGGTTGATGTGTAATGAGTTTTTAGATTTCGATTTAGAAGGATCGTTTTCTTGGCGATAGAGAGAAGTGGGTTTTTATATTTAACTGGTAAGTGGTTGACTTCTGTGATATTACCGAGCAGGCAGAGTGACGGGCATGGGGGGATTCTACAGCTCAAGATGGTGAAGAGTTTCTCTGTCACTGCTACCCAGAGAGAGTAAACAGGTTGACAGATCCAAGTAGCATGGAAGTAATCATCGGCACAACCCAGAGTGCATTGTGAACAAGTATCTGTATTAGTATTGTTACATCTGTATTTGACATTAGCTTATAAAGTTTAGATATCTTCTTTGCCAACTCCAGTGGACCAGAGTCAGCAGTCCACCTCCACCAGAAGGAGAAAGGACACTCTTTTGAAGACAGTGAAGTCCAGATCCTCGCCAGAGAACATCGCTGGTTTGAGAGAGGTGTTAAGGAAGCTATTTTCGTAAAAATAGAACACCCCTCACTAAATAGGGGTGGTGGACTACGACACAACTTGTCTTCCATCTACAACCCGGTTTTGAGATCTCTGCCCAAACATGCCCACCAGGACAACAGGCGTCGGTTGACAGGGGAGGATCCAAAGACAGGTAACGACCCTCACTGATACTGGGCTGGGCTGTAACGACTCAGTCGTTAATGGACATTGTTGGCCTTCTAAGGACTGAAACCACACCGAGGGGGATAAATATCTCCGACTCAACACCAGTCAGTCAGAACTGATGAAGCCTCTTGGATGAGAGGTGAAACGTCTTCTATCTAGAATTCCAAGTCCATTTCTGTTGCGGTATATCTTCTTTGAGTTTGTAAATTTCATTATATCCTCAGCTAGCATGGATGGCTGTAGTGGGTTGTTGATTATATTGATCTTTGATTTAATTATGGATTTTAACTGTTGGTACTGGAGAAATTCTCCTCTCCCAAATCCGTATTTCTTGCCTAATGTACTCAATGGTATAAGCTGGTTATTTTCAAATAGGTGATGAAGGTGAGCAAATTCCTTTGTGTTGCCACGTTGGAAAGTAGATGGGGTTGTTATGCAGTTGAAAGTCAGGGCTGTGCCAAATTGGAGTGTATCTACATGGTGCTAATGATGATTTAGCGGTTTTGATTGCTTTCCACCAGGCTGCCAGAGTTGCAGAGATTGTGATATTTTTGCAATAGTTCATTTTCTTAATTGAGGAAAGGTCTTCAACTGAAGTATTTTTGCATTGATTTTGTTCTAGTTCTATCCATGAGGTATAATAACTGTCCTTCTGGATCCATTTAACTAAGTATTGTAGTTGATTTGCTAAGAAATAATGCTCAAAATTTGGTGCTTCTAGGCCACCTTGTGATTTGTTCTTCTGAAGTGTTGACAGAGAAATTTTGGGTTTCTTGTTTTTCCCAGTAAAATTGCGAAGTTAGAGAATCAAGTGATTTGAACCATTTATCTGTGGGTGTTGTGGGGAGCATTGAAAACAGGTAGTTAATTTGTGGTAAAGTTTTCATTTTCAATGTAGCAATTCAACAAATGAGTGAGTCGGAGGTTGGACAAGCATTTGAAATTATCTTCCTTTTTTTTTTTTAGTTGAGGTTAAAAAGTTGTGACAGCCTGGGGGAAATACTGATACCTAAAATACTTAATGTTGCCAGTGTGAAGGGGAAGGGGGCAGTCTTGAGCTGCAGAATCCCAGGCATCTTGAGAGAGTGGCAATATGGTGAATTTATTCCAGTTTATTGTATAGTTGGAAATCCTGGAGAATGTTTCTTGTAGTAAACTGTAGGGGTCCTGTAAATATAATAATATGCACCCATTATTTTCAATGAAAGCCCACACACCAGCGGGGGAACTGACACACGTCATCACGGGTTGACGAGTGTCAACGTTTCAGGATGTGCTATTATCTAGTGATGGGAATTCCGGCTCTTTTCGGAGAGCCAGCTCATCTGGCTCAGGCTCAGCAATAAAAGATGGGATGCCAAATGGCTCTTCATTTAGTACTACTTCTGGCTTTTGTAATTCAGCCAAATTTAATATTTTGACCTAGGACTGATATATGTGTGCACCCATATCACTTAAATTATTTGTTACACTAAACCTTCCAGATTACATATTTTACATCATGTTTGGTATAAAAACCATCATCTAACACTATGTTGGATATACAGTTCTAATATGCCTGTGAAGACTGTTAGTAGACCCTGCTCAATGTCTATGTTATTAAAACGCATCCAAATGCTACTTTGTTTGTATCGGTCACTCATTTTCTGCTGTTCGCACACTCCTGTCATCTGTTCTGTAGGCTGTCAGCCCAGCCCTCCTCCCTTTAACTTGATGATATGATCCTTCTCTGTCATCGCACCTGATTGGTCACAGGCACACACAACACAACCTTCAGTCAGCACATGGAGTGCCTGTAGCTGACCAGTGTGATGAAAAGATCACCTATCATTCTGCGGTGTATTAATAACAACAACAAGAAATTAAATAAAAAATTGTTGTAAACAAACATGGTGGACCCACATAACCACTCTGAAGTGGTTAGAAGGGTACTCAGAGGTAGAAATACCCTTTTTGTGATAACCTGCTAACAACATAAGTGGACAAAAACCCAACTCTAACACTCCTTGGTGGAGGTGGTGGGTGAAGCCTTATAGCCCAGGTTACCTCTTGCAGTAGATCAGCTTGTTCAATAGCTTTGAGGACACTCTTCTTAGATGTGTCCTGGATCTCTCCTCCCATCAGGAATTCATCTAGAATGAAGTAGGCTTTCTCAAAGTTAAAGATGATGTCTAGTTCACAAACCTGCAAAAAAAAAAAAAAAAGTTCTTTCTACAGTAGAATTCTTCACATTTTCTCATGTTACTCTCTAACAGAGATTTATATCTCTGATTTAGACTTACACTGCCAAAGTATTTATCCAGCAACTCTACAAAGCGGTGGATGATTTCCAGTGTGATCAGCTCATTGTCCTGCTCTTCAATTGCACAACAGAAATACAGGCTGGCATACCTGCATAAATATGTACATGGTCACACACAAAAAACAGAAACAACATATCAATATAACAACACCTGACAAGATCAACTTTTTTCTACAGCAAAGCTGAAAAGGCTCAGCAGAGGATGCAATTCCTGCACCAGCTCACAAAGTTCAACCTGCCCCAAGAGCTGCTAAGCCAGTTCTACAGGGGAATCACTGAATCTGTTCTCTGCTCATCCAACACTGTCTGATTTGGTTCAGCAATCAAACAGGACAGGAACAGACTCCAGTGCAGAGTTCAGAATGCAGAAAAACCCATCATGTCCTGGACGTAAACTGTTTGAACTCCTCCCCTCTGAACGGCGCTACAGGTCACTGTACACCAAAACAACCAGAGACAAGGACAGACAGTTTCTTCCCCCGTACTATCAGTCTGATGAACAGTTAATCCATGACTGTGTGACTGGACACAGCAATCACCACAGTGTAATAAATTGTAAATATAACCATAGTATATATCAGTCTGGAAGTTCCTCTGCCATAATGTGTGTGCATATTTATTTATAAATACTCCCTCCCTTTTTCTCACCTTCTTTTCTCTCATTTTGTTATTTTGCAGCCTGAAATGAACACAGTTTTGTTTTATTCAGCTGTATGTAGTCGGTGCAACTTAAAACATCCAAGTGGAAGATATAACACCAACATGTCAGAAAAAAAAATAATCAAAACTAGAATAACTGACTTAGAAAAAGGATCGCACCCTTGTGTCAGTAATTTGTTGAACCACCTTTTGCTTTAATTACAGCCTTTAGTCTGTTGGGATATGTCTCTACTAACTTTGCACATCTAGACTTTGCAATATTTGCCTACTCTTCTTTGCAGAACTGCTCAAGTTCAGTTAAATTTGATGGTGACCATTTGTGGACTGCAGTCTTCAAGTCATTCCACAGATTTTCAATAGGGTCTGAGCTCTGACTAGGCCATGCAAGGACATTCACCTTTTTCTCCTTCAACCACTGTGTGGTCATTTTTGCTTTGGGTCATTATCATGTTGGAAGGTAAACCTTCTTCCCACTGACAACTTTCTGGCAGAGGGCAGCAGATTTTCGATATTTTGCCCCATCCATTTTTCCTTCTATGCTGACAAGTTTTCCAGTCACCAATATTTGATTGTTTGCTTCAGTTGCACTACCAGGGACTAAAGTGCTCCAGAAAAGCTCTCTTCATGCTGAGCTAATCAAAATGACCACAGCTGATCACAGTTGACTTGTATGTTTAAATATACTTGGCCATTAAAGATGATTCTGATTCTTAAAATATGACAAACACATTTTATAGTAAAAACAAGATGGTGGCACGAACACACATGCTACCGAGCTGACAGAGTCCTTGAGCAAGGAGGCAAAACACGTGGAGGGGGAGTTTGTGTTTACATTAGCAATGCTTGGTGTCGGGACGCTGCTATTGTTCAAAAACACTGTTCTCCATTGGTGGAGTTTATCATCAAGTTCTGGCCTTTCTATTTATGTAGGGAGCACTCAGTAAATCTGTTGATAGCTGTGTACATGCCTCCCACTGCTAACACCAGTGATAGGAGTGAGGCACTAAATAAACTCTACCAGGCCATCACTTGAACAACAGACAGTGCACCCAGACAGATTCCTCATCATAGCTGGAGACTTCAATCACGCGGATTTAAAGGTTTTATTGCCCAATCTGCACCAACATGTGGACTTTCCAACGAGAGGAGACAATACACTGGACCTTGTGTACACCGCATGCAAGGGAGCATTCAAATACCTGGTCGTGTTTTAAAGGACTGTGCCAAGGAGCTCAAGAATGTCCACATGGACATCTTTAACATCTCCCTGGGCCAAGCGGTTGTTCCCATGTGTTTCAAGACTGCCACAATAATTCCAATTCCAAAGAAGCCCCACCCAACCAATTACAATGACTATCGGCCTGTAGCACTGACTTCAATTATTATGAAGTGCTTTGAGCAGCTGGTCATGCAGAACGTCAAGTCCATCCTTCCTCCCTCTCACGACCCATTTCAGTTTGCATACAGGTCAAACAGGTCCACAGACGATGCCATTACTGCTGTTCTCCATCTAGCCCTCACCCACCTAGATTCAAAGAACTCTTACAGTGCGAATGCTGTTCCTAGACTTTAGTTCAGCATTCAACACAATAATTCCCCAGCAGCTTACACAAAAACTTGGACACCTGGGACTCAAAACCTCTCTCTGCATCTGGGTGCTGGACTTTCTAACAGGGAGGCCACAAAATGTGCGGATCAGCAGCAACATCTCCAAGACCATCACGCTGAGCATAGGGGCTCCGCAGGGGTGTGCGCTCAGCCCATTGCTCTTTACACTGCCGACCCACGCCAACCTACAGCGCCAACCACGTTGTCAAGTTTGCGGATGACACGACTGCAGTTGGCCTCATTACCAACAATGATGAGGCCAACTACAGGAGTGAGGTGTGCCAACTGGTCCAGTGGTGTAAGGACAATAACCTCTTCCTCAATGTGGGGAAGACTAAAGAGATTGTTGTAGACTTCAGGAGAAAACCTCTAAAGCACCCCCCCACTGACCATCAACGGTGCTGTAGTGGAGAGAGTGAGCAGTACCAAGTTCCCGGGGATGCACATCTCTCCTGGACCAACAACACCACATCACTGGCCAAGAAAGCTCAAACACACCTCTACTTTCTCCACAAACTAAAGAGAACTAGTGTCCCACCCCCATCACGCACTCCTTCCAGCGGGGCACCATTGAGAGCATTATCACTGGCTGCATCACTGTGTGGTACAGAGGCTGTACTGCCTCCTGCAGAAGGACTCTGCAACACATAGTGAATTCAGCCAGCAAGATCACTGGCACTGCCTTCCTTTACGAACATTTTTAACACCCGCCTCACCCACAAAACCATCAGCATTGCTGATGACGCCTCCCACCCCTCATACTCCCACTTCAGACTCCTGCCTTCAGGGAGAAGCTATCAGTCTTCAGGCCCACTCCACCAGACTTATCAAGATTTTTATCTTATCATAATCAGATACTTCCCACAACTAACACAGATTTATCATCAAGTACAATAGCTTTAGAAACATCTGTAAGACCTCATTTATATTAAGACTGATTCACTTCCATTTCTCTCTCTGAGCTGACCTCAACCACTGCTTCATCTAAGTCAATATGTCTCTTAGACCCCATCCTGACCAGACTGCTCAAAGACATTTTACCCCAACCAACACGTCCATATTACATCTGATCAACCCATCTCTATTAACTGGCTATGTTCTGCAAGGTTGCTGTAATTAAACCTCTACTCAAAAAGCCTACTCTTGACAAGTGTGTTCTGGCTAATTATAGACTAATATCCAATCTCCAGTTTATTTCTAAAATTCTTGAAAGAGCTGTTGCAAAGCAGTTTGGTGACCACTTGCACAAGAATGATTTGTTTGAGGATTTTCAGTCAGGATTTAGAGACCATCATAGTATAGAACAGGGGTGGGCAAACTCATTCATATGTGTCAGTATGTCCCCAGCAAAAGCTAAATCACAAAGCCAATCTGTGTCACTCAGCTAAGGAAAATGGTCAGCTTTCTCAAGTAGCTCCAAAAATGAGCTAATCTCCTGTTTGAGCTCCCACACTTGACATACTTTCCCCAAACTTAACCAGCGGACATTAGAGCAATAAAGCAAGTCCTGGTGATCAGCATCGTTTTTTTTCAAGAAGCTTAAACTGACGATGCTGAAGTCCCCTTGCTCGAATAAAGTTAACGAGCTTTACAACTGTCTTCACTATGTGGTCAAGCTGCAATACGGATTTACACAGTGCTTCCTGGTGGATTATGCAGAGTAAGAAAATTATCTCCTGCTTAGGGTTGTCCTCTTTCACCCTCTCCTGGATTCTTTTGAGCAGCCCGACATTTTTTCCAGTCAGATTTGGCGATCCATCTGTGGTAACGTTGGCAAGCGTACTCCAAGGTAGTTTGTGCCTCTCGATGACTCCCGACACCCGACTGTCATACAAGTCCTCTCCACCCGTTTTCCCCTTTAGGGATTCCATGGCCAAAAACTCCTCCGTTATCTCAAAACTCATTAATGCCTTTGATAAAAATTAAAAGCTGAGCGGTGTACTTTATGTCATTACTTTCGTCCAGTGCCAAGGAATATAATGTAAATGACTCCGGTTTTTTGTTTAGCTTGCTAGCTAAGTCTTTGTCAATTAGCTCAACATGGTGAGTCACTGTCCTGCATGATAAGCTAATTTTTTCAAATTTGTTCTTGCTCTCAGGACACAAGAAACCTGCCGTCTCTACCATGCACTCTTTGAGAAACTCCCCTTCGTAGAAAGGCTTGCTGGTCTTTGCTAATATGAATGCCAGCAAATAACCTGCCTTCGTGCTTGATTCTTGGATGGCAGTTTGTCGGATAAAGGGGTTTTGCTGAGCCTGCAAACTAGCTGCCAACCTTTGAGCTGTAGCCATCCGTTCGTGCGTTGACTGGTTGTTAGCATAATTAGCATGCTTGGTAGAAAAGTGATGGCTGATGTATTTCTTTAAAACTGCAATGATTTCTTGGCAAATAAGACATACAGCCTTTGACTGGACTTCAGTAAAAATAATATTTAGTTGCCCATTCCTTATTGAACACTTGGCACTCACTGTCGACTTTTCTTTTCTTTGGCCCACTCATTGTTGCAGATGGGTTCAGAGCAGTAGCAGAGTAATAACTGAGAGTAGCCCTGGCTCCGCAAAATCAAGTCAATGTATCACCGCGCCTAATGCACCACCTGGTGGAATGCCAGGCATTACAGAACAAGGTCAAATGAATGCAGTCATAATTATGATATGATTTGGCTAATCCTATACCAATCTTCGGTGGGCCAGATTAAAAGATGTGGCCCACAGGCCGTAGTTTGCCCACACCTGGTATAGAAACTGCATTGGAGAAAGTCACCAACAATCTCCTCCTATCCTCAGACAAAGGACTTGTCTCCATACTTGTCCTCTTGGA